GTTAAGAAAATTTTCATCTTAGCTTGCCAACGTTTGAAATTGGAACCCTCAAACTTAAATGGTTTGTCAAAGACAGAAGCGGCCGCAATAGTACCGATAATTTTCTCAGTAGCCATGGAAATGAAGAAAACGTCTTAAAATTGTTGTTTCCGGTTTTGAAAAAAATGCCACAAAGAAAATTATCAGGACGAGTCGCGTACTAGGTCACTTTCTTTAAGATGTTTCATCGTACTGCCAATAATTATGCAAAGCAGTCGAGTTTCGACAACGTCTCCAGGATAAAACAAACCGTTCAAAATTACGATTATTACTTGCACTATAATAAATCGTTGAAGAATTACACCTTCAGATGGTATACCAATCGTAGTATTTAGAACTTTCCAGTCGTTGATGGTGCAGTAAGCCAGTCGAAAACAGAAAAGAAAATTTTGTAGATGAAGCAGAGTAGAGAGAGAGAAGAGAGAATTCGAATTGTGAATTCTAGAGTGAATTGCAAATGAACTAAAGAACTCTATTTATAGGAAAAGGATCCAAGTGAATGGAGCAAGTATCATGGGAGATAGTGGAATCGACCCAGTCAAATGTAGTTTTTTTCCCACTTGGTCAACAAGTAACACGTACACGTATGACTCTTGGAGGGCAAGCAAAACCAGTCAAAAAATAGGTTAAGACTTGGTTTTTGTGCAGGACACGTTACCATTTCGTAATTAATTAATATTAATATTAATTAATTTCTTACTTTTTTATAATTAAATAATAGTATTTAATTTCCACTGAATCAATTAATTAATAATAATTAATTTCCACTAATCGGGTTCCAAAAAATTAACTCATCTAGATCGGACCGAACCGAGCCGGCTAGACGATAGCGGCGATGCACGCGCGTGTGTTTCTAGATGGCTTATGGGTGTTTTCTCACTCCTTTAGAAAATTGGGGTGCCCATTGGGGCCTAACTCAATTGGCCAAGTTGGAATATATATACACTACTAATATTTGTATTTCCTCCTATGTGGAACTAAAATGAATCTTTTCAAATTCAACTCCATACTAGTTCTTACTTGTGCTCATTTACTTCCCATTTAATGTCAATAAATTATTCCAACTCTCACTCCAAGTTAACATCATACTAAGATTTCCAACCGTTACGTTAGGCATATTTGAGTCTTTCAAGTCCATTTGATAGCCCAAGTCAGCACTTTGAAATAAACTTCCATTTATATTCATCTTTTTAAAGTGGGCCACAAAAAAATCTTCTAGTTGGTGTACTTCTTGTAGATTCCTCAATGTCTCCCTTGTTAATCTCAAAGAATTATTGTTTTTCCCCTTGTTTTTCCTTTCAAAGTACCCACCCCATATGTTCCAAGACATGCGGTCTTCATACATTTCTCTTGATTGGTTGTAACATTGATATGTTGACTCATGTTGTCTCCACATTCTTATTGTCTTTCAAGCCCATTTGACAGCCCAAGTCAATATTTTGAAATAAACTTCCATTTATATTCATCTTTTTAAAGTGGGCCACAAAAAATCTTCTAGTTGGTGTACTCCCTGTAGATTCCTCAATGTCTCCCTTGTTAATCTCAAAGAATTGTTATTTTTTGCCCCCTTGTTTTTCCTTTCAAAGTACCCACCCCACATGTTCCAAGACATGTGGTCTTCATACGTTTCTCTTGATTGGTTGTAACATTGATATGTTGACTCATGTTGTCTCCACATTCTTATTTGATGTTGGAATATTCTTTTTTAACTCAATGATTTCATTATTGTATCTTATATTATTAACCATCTTAGTCCTATCTCATTTCACATGTTCTCCTACCATTGGCACATGTTCATTCCCATTATTCGCAACATTTAATTTTTATTATTACCATGGTTTTGTGATTGGATAAATTTTGATAAAACATAGTTTGTCATAACAGGTTTGGTGTTATGTGATTTTCAAACCAGATGTAGAATGCAATGTCATGACATCTTGGTCTGATGCAGCAGGTGCTGTTGTTTGGTATTTTTTGACAAGATTTGATTTGATTTCCTAAGATTCCTTTTGGATATATCTCAACTATTCTCGCAGGTCAAAGAGATGCAATATGGAACAAGTGAATCAAATCTCCATCGACATTAAAGTTTCTAAATTTGGTTGTTGAGCTAATTTAGGATACTTGAAAATTTGTTCCAAGATTTAATGAGATATTCTCTACAGCAATCAGCGCATGGATCAAGGAATAGTTGGGAAGAGAATTCGAAGCCCATGGATAGTTGAAGGCTTATAAAAGGAAGACCAGAACCTAGGGAAAATTAATTTAAAATAGATTGTAAAAAATAAGGGTTTAGGTTTGAGAGTCTCTCGTGTTCCTTGTGGTGTAAGTCACCCTTTGTATCTCTTGACACATCGTGGTAGGCATATTGTTCTCACTCATAACCTTTAGGTAATAAGTTGAGTATTGTTCTCCTCTAAAATTTTGAGCAGAAAGTTGAGTGTTATTCTTGGTAGAAGATTTTAAGCAAACCAAGTATCGTTCTTAATTAAGAGTTTTTAACTAGGTATTGTATTTGAACTGTAATCTTCTATTAGATTTATCCTTGTACTAGTTACTGTGATTGTAATTGGTTTATAGACAACCACTGGGATTGGAGTAGGTCTTTTATCACTGTAGAGATTGTAAGCGAGATGGAGATTTCTTATATCTAGGAGGTGCCTAGGTTGAAGTTGCACTGGATAGGGATTAAGCGAGAAGTTGTAAATTGGATTGTTTAGCTTCGAATTAATACTACTGATAGTGTATTTTCTTCCTGGTTTGGTAGTCCCCATAGTATGTGAGTTGTACCGAACTGAGTTAACAATTGATTGTGTTCTTTATCATTCTGCATTTACAATTTTGCATATTTTTTCCAGTTTGATATTACTACTCAGTCTGTCTACAGATGTCCTAACATCTGTTCTGACATCATGTTCGAATGTTGGAAACATCAGTATGAATATATTGTGTACCAGTACCAGAATTTCAATTGACATCATAGCAGACACCCTGTCTGTCATTGGGTGAGCTTCAGGGATATTTATGGTACTTTTTATTGACTATCGAAAGACTAGGATGATAACTTTCTTCTGTGGGCCTACTATAGCTACTGCTGCTTTTACAACTATTGATGGTTGTATATATGTCACAACTACTGATGGTTATGTTGCTGATACAACACCTACCGATGGTTGTTTGTATGCTGATGCTGTTACAACTACTGATGGTTGTATTTATGCATGATGTCCTACAAGATATCCTGACATCTTGCCTGGAATATGTTGAGGATGCCTTTGATGGAAGAACTCTGACAGACCGTAGTTCGTGTTTCTATTAGTATTGCTAGGGATGGAAATGAGTCGAGTCGAGTCGAACTCGCCTCAGCTCAGTTCAACTCGTTAAGAATTAGCCGAGTTCGAGTTCATCACAAACTTTTTTTTAGCTCAAACTCGACTCGTTAAGAATTGGCCGAGTTCGAGTTCGAGTTCATCACGAACTTTTTTTCCAGCTCAAACTCAACTTGTTAGAACAATCTTATATAAAACAATCTTATTTATCCTTATTGTATTCACAATAATTATAGACAATATTTCTAGCTTTCATATAATATAAGTTTCATCTCAAAATAATATTTGTAATTCAAGATATTATCATCAAAAGTAGGTAATATAAGAAAATAATGAAATGTTATAACTTAAGTTTGTAACATATATTTTACTATGTTGAATTTGAAATTTTTTTAATCAATAGAATTATAAATTACTTTATCATCTTTCAAATGATATAAATAAATATGAAAACCAAGTATGTCTTCATAAAACTTATATATCGATCCAGTTAATGAACCAAACGAATCGAACTACACATGGCTCAAATTCAACTCATTTATTTTACGAACTTAATTTTGAGCTCAAGTTCGACTCATTTGGTTCATGAATCAAGTCTAACGAATTAATTACCGAATCAAATCTCGAACTATTTTCGAGTTAGTTCAGTTCATTGTCAGCCCTAAGTATTATTAATGAAAAAATTGCTCTTGGAAGCTAGAATATGTTGAGTTGTTTATTATCTTTGTCATAAAAATTGATAAAGATCTGTTAAGATGATAAGGATGTGTACTATGACCAAAGTATCTTGCGATTCTCTCAAAACCTCTCATAGGCACATCAAAAGTGTAGATGTATATCTGCTCACATCTCATCCTAAAATCTTGAAGATCAAAGATAAGCAATTCATGACCTTCCATGAATTATCTTATTATACCATATGCTTTTAGCTCATTGGGAGAAGAATTTCAAAAGAAAAGCTGGTTTGGAAGATTCTCATGTCTCTTAATTAATTTTTTTTAAAGAAATTATGAAAACAACGATGTTTTGTTTGAAAAAAAACATGTATTTGAACCGCCGATTTTCAAAAGTCATCGGTTCACTAATTTTGATCGGTTTCCACTGGTTCAATAGCATATCCGATTTAACAATCAAACTAAATCGATGACTTTTTGATTTCTGATTCGATCAATCTGACCGACCGATTCGTCCGATTTTTAAAACACTGAGTTGATCGAAAATATGCTTATATGTAAATGATGCATATGCATATTTGTGACTTTAGGGACACGGTCCATTTTATTATCTATTGACATTGATGTTTTCACTTTTAGAGAGTCCCTGCATATGAGGACAAAACTATTTTTCACAAGGGTCTATAATTTAAAGACGGAGGAGGGAGTACGTTTCTATTCCAAAAGAAAAATGAAAGTGGAATTGTGGTGGCAATATGGACTGTGGTCTACCAATGTATTGTACTTTTCACCTTTTTGGGAATCAGTTCAACCCACTTTCATCTCAATCACTATTCATATACTAGTACTTTTTTCAAGATTTCATTTATGCAAAATTTTAGGTATTTTATAATTATATATCTGATATTAATAATCAAAACTATTCATTTGATATGCTCCACTAAGTTTATTGATCATAATGGAGCTATCAAAGATATTCAGATTCCAATCCTTCGTACCTTTCTCTCCTATAAACAACAGCCCTTTCAAAAATCAACTACTCAACCATAAACCAAAAGCAACGAAATTAACAATCACTGCAGCGAGAAAAGCACCTATTGAAGGGGTTAGCGACGAGTTGAATGATATAGCTTCTTATAACCTTGATTTTGCATACTCTCGAAGAACAGTTCGTGCTGCTTTTACTCAGGTTCAACAACAGCTTGATCATTGCTTGTTTAAGGTTTGTTTTGTTTTGACTTTTCATCAGGATTAATGGAACGCTTCGAATTCTTCAATTTTTCATTTGTTGTAGAATCAGACACTGACTGATGATGTTTTGATCTGTTTTTTTCCTAGGATGCTCCTGCTGGAATTAGAACAGAAGAAGTGAGATTTTCTGCTTTACCTTTTTTTCCTAGGATGCTCCAAAAAATTATGATTTTTTTTTTTAATACTGTTTGGTTATTTTGTTAGCTTGGTAAAGAAAGTTAATTAATTTTGTGTTTCATTTTATTTGATAAGTAGTGGTATGAAAGGAATTCTAGAGGATTGGAAATTTTCTGCAAAAGCTGGATGCCAGAGGTTGGAACTCCAATCAAGGCTTCTGTTTGTTTTTGTCATGGATATGGTGATACTTGTACATTCTTCTTTGAAGGTTTGTTTTTCTGTGTTTTGAAAATGTTTCTTTGAGAATGATGTTTGTTTTGGGGAACCTAGTGATTCATTGTGTGGAAATTGGCTGTGGATTTGGTTTTTTTATTCAGGTGTAGCTAGGAGATTTGCTGCCTCCGGGTATGCTGTTTTTGCTATGGACTATCCAGGCTTTGGACTTTCAGAAGGATTACATGGTTACATACCTAATTTTGATGACCTTGTTGACGATGTTATAGAGCATTATACACAAATAAAAGGTGTGTATGATTCGTTAATTTTTAGATATGAAGCATTGACAGAGACTCTGATACCGAATACAACTCTAGCTTGACACATAGACACTAGTGACAATTTGAGAAATCAAAGTGATCGAATGTAATTACATATTTCAATGACGTGTTGGGAGGTTGAGAATCAATACGAGAATAAAGTAAGTGTAGCAAAGATGAGGATGTTGCGTTGGATGTGTGGTAAGATTAGTTGGGATAAGATTAGAAATGATATTACTAGAGAGAATGTTGGGGCAGCACCTATAGTTAAAAAGATGGTAGACAATAGGCTTAGTTGGTTTGGGCATGTAGAGAGAAAACCAGTAGATTATGTTATAAGGAGAGTAGATTAGATGGAGAGGAGTCGAACAACTAGAGGTAGAGGAAGGCTTAAAAAAACTATAAGAGAAACTATCAAGATCTCAAGATTAACGATTGGTGAGAAACATGATCTTGGATTGAACATTATGGTAAATTTTGATCCATGTAGCCGTTGTTGGTGTCGGATATCATCATCACATATCAGATATTAGACATACCTATAGTCTAAAGTGTTAGTTAGAAACACACAAATAGAGGTGGGTTTGATTCATCACTTTTTAACTATGAATCATTGAGATGGAAATGAACACTAGACGCGCCACTAACTGCATGTAGATACCGGTATTAATTTGAGAAAATGGAAGTAATTGGATGTAATATTTTATGGATAGTTAATGTTCTATTTTTCAATCGAAAACACATGGCGTTGTTGATCATGATTTTGTATTTAAATTGACAGCAAGGCCTGATATGAGAGAATTACCTCGATTTCTGTTGGGACAGTCGATGGGTGGGGCAGTTTCACTAAAAGTTCATTTGAAGGAGCCAAATAATTGGGATGGAGTGGTACTTGTAGCACCAATGTGTAAAGTAATCTCATTCCTCCTATCTATTTCTACCAATTCTCATCAAGCTCTGGTAACTGTAACTTTAAAGTGACATTGCTGTTGCTATTTTGAACATTGATATAATCTGATTGCTTACTTTGGCTAGAAAAAATGATAACCGCAGTTATTTTTAAAACTGAAATGTTGAGTACTCTTGAAAATTTTAAAAGAATGTATCATACATTGTAAGTTAACTGGAAGAACTAATATCTATATCTTTCATAAGGACTTTTCTAAATTTGCATGTTAAGAAAGATACACAAAGCAAACTGAACTGTGCTATTATCTATCATATGAGAAGTGATACATGGAGAATTCCTTGATTTTTGTAACCTTATTTCACAGAAACACGTCAGAGAAAGAATGAGGTCTAATAGTCTGTAGTATGCAAGGATTGTTTGTTTTCGTGTGAAGCATGGATTGTTTGTTTCTGTATGGAGCAACTATTTGTATTGTCTATTTGCTTTACTTGCTGATTTGTGTTAGTGGTAAGATCGCAGGCGATGTGTTACCACCAGATACAGTTATGAAGGTGTTAACTATTTTGTCAAAAGTGATGCCGAAGGCAAAACTCTTCCCAAACCAAGACCTAGCTGAACTGGCCATCAGAGAACCGAGCAAAAGAAAATTGGTTAGTAACTCTTATAGAATGAAGACTAAAACCATTTCTCTTGCATATGCATGCTTTCTTAAACAAAATGTCTTGCATCTTTTGAATGATGTTACTTTTTATCATAAACAGTTTTGCACAAAATTAAAATTTGCCACTTTTCTATTTGTGGCTTTATAAAGAATTTCTTTTGTTCAACATGGACTATAATAAAGTAGCATCTATAACTCAATTTGTTGCATTTCCTTGCAGCATCTTAGTTATGTAATTTTAATTTTATATTTAATCCAAGAGCTATTCTTTATAGGCTGTTTACAATGTTATTTGTTATGAGGATAATCCACGACTGAGAACTGGCATGGAACTTTTAAGGATCACAAAAGAAATTGAGTCACAAGTAGAGAAGGTTTTTTTTTCTCACTTTCTCATTTACCCTTTTTCTTTCTTTTTGGTTTATATGTTTCCTATACAACTGTTGTCATATTTCAATAAAAAACAATTGATTTTTTTATGGTTGGATTGGGTGATTGCAGGTGTCAGCACCATTATTTATTCTTCATGGAGCTGCAGACAAAGTTACCGACCCTTTAGTGAGTCAATTTCTTTATGAAAACGCATCTAGCAAGGATAAGACTTTAAAGCTATATGAAAATGGTTACCACTGCATTTTGGAAGGAGAACCTGATGATAGAATAGATGCTGTACATGATGATATTGTCTCATGGCTTGATTTTAGGTGTTCCATTAGTTGAGATTTTAGGTGGTCATCTTTCTATAATTTTTCTCATATTTTGGGTCTAAAAATACATTTTTCTCTCTTATATTTTGGAACTGAGACAGTATATTACTTTTAAATTGATTTTTTTACTTTAATATAAATATATAGCTAGTTACAATATTTAACATTAATAATTAAAAATATATAGCTAGTTACAATATTTAACATTAATAATTAAAAATATATAGCTAGTTACAATATTTAACATTAATAATTAAAAATATATAGCTAGTTACAATATTTAACATTAATAATTAAAAATTGAGGGGAATAAATTAATTCTTGATTTGTCTAACCTAGAAGATGATAAATCTAATTACATTTTGATTCTTAGTTCCTCACCGACATACCCTCCAATTGATACGGTTCATCAAGGAGAATTAATTTGATAACAATAAATTGGTGATGCGGACGCGAAATAGAGTTGGAAATAATATCTAATTTGATATTAAATACTGACTTGAGGAAGTGACAGTCAATTTTGACATGTTTGGTGTGTTAATGAAAAATGAAGTTTGTCATGATTTGGATGTTATTTGTAGCATAAAGTGATTTTGGCTCTATTTGAAAATGATTTGGATGTTATTTGTAGCATAAAGTGATTTTGGCTCTATTTGAAAAAAATCTAAGTTCAATCAAAAGACCACAAGTCAAATTATATTTGAACAAGCAACAAACATAACACACGATACTCATATTTAACAGAAAATTTAGAGTCTATCGCTCATTTCTTACTTTTTCATAACATTAATGAAGATTCAAGAAACATGTACCATATGAAAATGACAAGGAGAATACATAAATTCACTTGCTTGCTGAAAAGAAAAATGCATGTCAAGACAATAGTCAAAGTAGTTAAAGTTACCAAGACCTTTTATATTAAATGAGACATGAAATTGTTGTTTAAGTCGTTGAGCAGAAGCATGATTAGAACTAGTAATGATCATATATTGTCAACATACATGATAAGCAAAATTAACTATCGTAGATGTGCTATGAATAAAAAGATAGGAATTACACTGACTATGAGTAAAGGATAATCTAAGTATAGTATAGCAAAATTTATGTTATCATTCTACATGAAAGAGCGTTTGAGCTTGCTCATATTTTTAAGCTTGCACATACTTTTAGATGAAAAGAACAAGCTTTGAGAAGAAGTCATATAAATTCTTTAGTTAGGTCATCTTAAAGAAAAACATTCTTTGTGTCCATTTAATAAAGAGACCACCTATTAAAAGCATATATTGAAAGTACAATGTGAACAATTGTCATTTTGACCACTTACACAAATGTTTTATTATATTCAAATTCATATTTTTAAATATTTTTCAAGGTAACTGTTCTGGACTAGGCCGGGCTGGCCCAATCCAAACGGCCTTGCAGGGGGTTGCGCCGATCAAGAAGCTACAGCCGTGCCCGACACTATCCGCTAGTACGACATCCTCGACTTCATGCAGTCCAGCTCGACCTCAGCTCGAGCGCCCCTTGTAGGGCAGACTATGACCATTACGCCATCACCTGGATTTCGAAAAGACCGCGTCCTCGTCCGTCCGTACTTCTCGCAGAACACCCAGGAAGGAGACCACGTGCGGGTCCCCACTACACACGTAGAACCTGGCAGTTCCTTCATTGGGCCAAACCTGCCCGGCCCAATGAAGGGACCTTGGCCCAGCGCTGGGGGGCTATAAATATCCTCTGTTCCCAGAGGGTCAGGTATTCATTCTCTTACCCATACTCATACTTTTTGCCTGCTCGTACTCACTCACTTTAGCATCGGAGTGCCTTGCAGGTACCCCCCATCTCGTTCAACTTCAGCTCGGAGCCAGTCGTGACGGTCCAAGTCTGATCCGGTAAGATCAGTGGCGCCGTCTGTGGGAATCTAGCTTCCCCGTCTTGCAACAACTCAAAGACCAAAGCTCAACTCGACTACCACCGTCATGGCTGACCAAGTTCGTGATGAGCAAAACATTCGCGCCGTCGACACCAACCACGGCCTCGCGGATAAAAATGGACACCTGGATAACGCCGGTAACCCCGGTCACAACACCACCCCTGTGTCAACTGCCCCAGGGCCTTCAATCCACCGCGACGAAGCTACCGCGTCGTCTTCCTCGGTCCCTGCGCCACTCGAAGAGGACGATGCAGCTCTCGCGAACTACCGGGCTGCCCAATTTCAGGAAGTCCCCGTCCCCGCCGGGGCGGATGCCACAACCCAAGCGTTATTCGCAGCGATCAATCAGACAAATTACCTCATCTTCGCCCAAGGGGAAATATTGAGGGCACTTGAAGACGATCGAAGACCCCCGAGGAGGCATCGGAGGCCCCAGAGTCCACCTCCTTGAGTGACTGAAGTTCATCTCCTGCCTCCCCCGCGGAGACATTACAGAGATACCTCTCGAAGCCCGTCACCCCGCCCATCGGGGAAACGGCCCCCTTTGGAGAGGCAACCCATCATCGAAGCCAGAGGACGCGGTCGTGCCCCCGCAAGACAGGAGAGAAGACACTCTGGAGACGGGCGTGGAAGAACTAATCAACGAGCACCACGCTCGAGAGATACCCAGCACGACCAGGACCGTCGTGCCCGACAGTATTACAGGTCCCCATCTTTGTCCCTAGAGCGGAGCGACGAGGACGACCCCCGCGGTCCCCTGTCGCAGGCTATCATGGAGGCGCCCACCCCCCCGGGCATGGAGAAGCCTCCACACTTGAAGGAATACGATGGAGTCGCGGACCCGGTCGACCACATAGACGGGTTCGAGGCTATGCTGCACTATCACAATGTCGGGGGCCCATCAAATGCCGCATCTTCCCCACGACCCTCTGGAAGGCAGCAATGGACTGGTACAAAGGACTCGCCCCGGGGTCAATCACCTCGTGGCGAAACCTGAAGAACCAGTTCATTAGTTCATTCACGGCATCTCGCCGACACCCGAAGACCGAGGCGGCTCTCGAGGCCATCATCCAGAGACAGGATGAAACCTTGAGAGAGTTCATCAATCGCTTCAACCGCGAAGCCATACAGGTCCCCTGCGCGGACCATATGAAGAGATATCTGCTGGAGAGGGGGCTCCTCCCCGGCACGGAATTCAGAAAGGCCGTGGGCATCGAGCCACCCAGGACATTCAATGCCCTCCTCGAAAAGGCCCGGGCATACATGGACTACGAGGAGAAAAAAGCGGCCAACAGAGCCCGAGACCCCAGGACTCGCGGGTCCAACAGCAACTCGCGCCAGGAAGCTCCTCCTCCTCGACGAACCGGGGAGAAAAGAAAAGAAGACAGACCCCAGGAAGTCCGGGAGCAACGGGGACCCTCGGGGCATTTTACCGAGTACACTCCGCTCACAGCTTCCCGCAAGCGCATTTTGGCGGAGTGTGCCAGCACAGACTTCAAGGACGGCGGCGTCAAACGTCCTCGACCTGCTCCCGCCAAGCCCGGAGCAGACAAGAACAAATATTGTCAGTACCATAGGAGCCACGGTCATCTGACTGAGGATTGCGTCCACCTCAAGGACGCCATCGAAACCCTCATCAAGGGAGGAAGGCTTGCACAGTACCGGCGAAACGATGCTCCTCGCCGTGACGCCCGGGAGATAGGAGAGCCGGAGGAAGATGCCCAACCATCTGACGAGTCGGTCCCCATCCAGACCGCCTTCTCCGTGACCAGACTCGAGGACTTCGACGTCCCTGAACACCTGCAGGAGCCGCTCACAACATACAGCAGGTGGGAATATTTCCCCTCCGCCATGGTCATCAACGGCAGAGGATTCAACGACTTGACCATTAATTCGGCAAAGAGGAAGCTGGATGATCTGGTCGACGCGGCACCCCCGTAAACAGTGACATTTGAAAGGGTGAAGGGCAGGTCAGAACCCATCACCTTCTATCTAGAAGAGCTCCCCGGGGGAGCCCCCAACGCGGTCATCCCCTTACTGATAAGGGCAAGAATGGCCAACTTCGATGTGCATCGCATCCTCGTCGACGAAGGAAGTTCCGTCGACGTAATGTACAGCCAATTGTTCCAAACTCTACAGCTGGACGACTCACATCTCTCGCCATATGTAGGGTCGGACTTACAGGGTTTCAACGGCTCGACCTCCAAACCTTGGGGATATGTCGAGCTCCTGGTTACATTCGGCGAGGGAACAGCGACAAGACAGGTCAAAGTACGCTTCCTCGTCATCGACTGCCCGTCCCTCTACAACTGCATCCTGGGAAGACCAACACTGGCAGAACTGACAGCGGTGCCCTCCACCGTCCACCCGAAGATGAAATTCTACACTAAAAGGGAACGGGTAGCTACTATCCAAGGAGACCTAGCCGCTGCTCGGAGGTGTTTCAACGCTGCATCTAAGGGATGCGACACGGTCGACGTAGGGACAAGGCCCGCCAAAAGGACGCGACAAGAGCCCGACAAGCAAGAGTCCGCCAAGGAAGAAATCCAGAAAGCTCCACCAAAGGTCGACTCTATAGCTCTGGACGCTCGTTTCGACCAGGACGAACCTCCTAACGGCGAGCAAGTTCCACTCCGACCGATACCGGACGGGGATTTTGAGCTCGTTCCCCTCGGTACAGACCCGAACAAAGGAGTGAAGATTGGCAAGGATCTCCCCGACCTGGCAAGGAAGCAAATCAAGGTCTGCTTGCGCGAGAATGCTTACCTGTTCTCCTGGAGTGCCGCGGAGATGCCCGGACTCGACCCTGAGGTCGCCTGTCACCACCTCGCCATAGATCCTGCCGCTAGGGCTGTAGTACAACGTAGGCGTAGGCAGTCTCTAGAGAAAACGTAGGCTGCTGAAAAAGCTGTAAAAGACCTCCTAGAGGCAAATTTTATTTCTGAAGCCCGGTATTCCACCTGACTGTCAAACGTTGTACTTGTTAAAAAGAATAATGGAAAATGGAGGATGTGTGTTGACTATACCGATCTCAATCGGGCCTGCCCGAAATATGCTTTCCCTTTACCAAACATAGACATGCT